TGTGTGTGTGTGTGTGTGTGTGTGTGTGTGTGTGTGTGTGTGTGTGTTTTACTGGCTCAGCTCAGCCTACACATACGTATTCTTTGCTGGCATGCAGAACCCTCAGGAGACAAAAAGGCTGAGGGTAGGTTGCATGTGTGACTCAGAGTTTGGGGGATAGGTGAAATACAATGCAAAAAATAAAAATAAAAAAGTACAAGGAATTGAGTGTGTTACACAGACAAAGGAGTCTTTGGGACAAAGTTGGTGGAAGAACTTAGTAGCAAGAACCTTTACTCATTCTATCATCTGAACAGCCCTAGAATTTAGTGGTTTTGAGGGCTTTTGGGGGGGTTGTTTTGTGTTTGTTTTGCTTGATACAGGGTTTCTCTGTGTAGCCCTGGCTGTTCTGGAACTCACTCTGTAGCCCAGGCTGGCCTTGAACTCACAGAGATCTGTCTCTACAGTGTGTCCCCCACTGCCTGGCTTATTGTTTTATTTTTTAAGACTCACATTTATGTATTTATGTAAGTGTGTGTGTATATGAGCGCACACTTGTCATATATGTATGGAAGTCAGGACAGCTTTCAGGAATCCCTTCTCTGTCTCCATTAAAAGGGTCCTTGGGGATCAAACTGAGGTTCTCAGGCCTGACAGCAAGCACTAACCAAGCTATCTCACTAGCCACTAGATGAATCTGGGATAAAGGGCCTGGAGAAGCATCGATTCCTGCCATTAATGTCAGGCATTTTACACATTTCACATGTGACACCCAGTTGCTCTGGCAGTTGGTACCACCACCACCACCACCATTTGTTAGGTGAGAAACTGCAGGTGAGAGAGATAAGATAGCAGAGTTTGTAGGGTCAGGCAGGATAGCAGAGTGCTTAATGATTAAACAATGGCTGCCCTTTAAGTTCTTTGAAAATTTTACTGACACAGTAGTTGTGAGATATGACAGAGTCCTCAAGGGACTGCTGCTTTACCTAGCGGTCTCATTTTGCAAAGCTGTAGTCATACAATGCTGCATGAAAGTGCTTACCTTGGTGTAGTCCCCAACCCGGCTTGGAACTCCTCAGTCTTCCCTCTTTCCTGTGAATCTATGACTCTGTCTTTTTTTTTTTTTTTTTTTTTTCTCACATGCAAACTCCTTTCAGAGTTGTTGGTTTTCCTGCTCTTTTGACATGTCTTATTGCCTGCTTCCCTATCCATTTCACAGATTTCACAGGCAAGATAGTTTACAGGTCCCAGGGTAGGGTGGGGCACGTAGGGGTGGAAGTCATGCCCATCTGGAAGTTCGTGTGTGTGTGTGTGTGTGTTGGAGTTCTTGCGGTTGTCACAAATGTCCTGAGGCCCAGGGGACTCTCTGTCACACTCAGTGAGATGCTGCCCTGCATCACGGAATATGAGGGTCATCCCAGGCTGTCAGGAGGAGTCATTCTAGCCAGGCGTTTGGTTCTTTGTGACAAGATTGGTCCTCTTCCTTGGGTGTTACTGAGACGGATGAGGTTGGATGTGAGGTGTGTTATTAGTGCCACCTTGGTGTGCCCTCCAGGTGGGGTAAACTCAGGGCGCAGCACATCATTAGACATGATTCATGGTATGACTCATTCAGGGAAAGAAGCACCCAAGGGAATGTGCTCTTCCTAGCCAGCTGCCTTGGGGGAGTTGATGGCTCAGCCCTTCTGAGATCTCCAAGGGAACCACACTGAGCATTTACCAGGGAACAAAGGGGCTTCTTCACATGTCAAAAAAAAAAAAAAAAAATTCATGTCCAAGTTAGGTTTTCCTGTCTTCAGAGCATAATGTAATTCTTTTCAAGCTGAATACCTTTCTCCTAAGCATGTTTTATTTCAAATAGTTTTTAGATTTGCGGAAAAGTGAGCACAGAAGGACCTACAGTTTCCCTATTAATATCTTATATCAGTGTATACAGCGCTTGCACCAAGTGAATTGGCATTGATACATTATTATTAAACTAAACACATACTTTGCTCAGATTTTCTTACCCAGCGCCCCTTTCCTGTTCCCAGAGCATGTCTGGGATCCATGTGACACACAGTCATCTTTTCTCCTTAGGCTCTTTGGCTGTGATACTCTCTATGGCTTTTTCCTAATTGCAGCTATCTGTCCATCTTCCTATCCAGCCATGATTTCTTCCTGCCAATTGCCATTGCTGTCATGACCCCTTTCCCCGCCAGACAGGGTTTCTCTGTGTAACAGAGCCCTTGGCTGTCCTGGACTTACTTTGAAGACCAGGCTGGCCTCCAACTCATAAGATCTGCCTGGTTCTGCCTCCTGAGTGCTGGGATTAAAAGGTGTGCCCCACTATGCCTGGTTGCTGTCATGTTCTTACCCATGGCTTTGGTTTCTAAAATCCATGAACTCTGGAGCCCAGATGTACCCTGAGCTACTAGAAAGCACAGTGAACACACCAACACCTCAAGCCAAATCCATTTCTTCCTTATGTGTTGGTGCTCTTGCTGATGATGCTGCCATCCCCAGAAAGGCCCTCACGGAATGACATCCAAATTCCTGCTCCCCTCTTGCACTATGAGCAGTTGGTCATCTTCTCTTCTGCTTTGCTTCCAGTCCATCATCACTGTCTCTAAGACTGACACCTGAGAGCTGGTGTCTAGAGTGGTTATGAGTGCTTTCTAATGCCTTTCCTGTCTAATCCATTCTAGTCCACAGTGTGATTCCCTGCCCAGTGTAGCAGTGCTTGGTTTTCCTTCTCCTCCTCCTCTTTGTCTCCTCCTTTAATTTGGAATAGGGCCTAGCTAATAGTCCTCAA